AATTCTGTTTATTCAGCTGCAGCGATAGGCATTTTCTGGGTTTCTTCTGCGAGGCGTATTTGGAGTTTCAGCGCGAGAGCGCCCTCTGGCCTTTGGATGGAGATTTACTGCTGATCACAGAACCGTGCTTCACTGAAAGATACGCATGACAATAGCAGCTTCTGTCGAATCGCGATCTCGATTCCATTTCGATTTATCGTGCAGCCCTAACTCCGTGTAGTAAAAACCTGCAGGAAAAGGCCTGAAGTGCTTATTAGAAGCAAACTGGCTCCGCACCATAGCCAAACAGCACTTACAAAACAAAATCACGTGTTTAACCACATGAGAGACCTGACAGAAGCAGATGCTAAACATGTCCCACTTCACATGTGTGCCCTTTAGAAGACCTGCAAGAGCATAGCCGCTTCTAAGAGCTGATCTAAAACCAGCACATCTACGCGAATCCTCGTCAACCTTCCAGAGAGAAAACTGAAAACAGGTCTTGGATTAGAAGCGGACGGCTAATTGTCTCAACACACTGACTCATTCTCCACAGGAGCTTGTGAGGAACGAAACAGACTTCCTCCAGGAACACTATAGGGGCTCCCGGCTCCCTTCGCCAACTACTGTCGACCTACTGCGAGCAGGTTCTGTCGAGGGGCAGGATTCAGCAGGGCAAAAGTTATGCCCCCACAAATGCCATCTGTCAACATGGACACCTGAGGTGTCAGCTGTACTCATTTTTACACCGACATTGCAAATGTAGCATCTTAAGAGCAGAAAAAATAAATTGGGCCATTTACAAATACTGACTTGAATTTCATCACAGACAAGCAACCTCATGGGTAAAACACAACTCGTCTGGCATAGTTTCACGGCTAACCTCTTTTGGTCTCGAGTTGGCTTATATTGAGCGTTAAGTGTGAACTATATTTTAAAGAGGGGTGCCATATAACATAACAATTATGTCATAATTTCCTCATCCTAATTCCAAACCTGCTTGACGTTCTTTCTTCTGCGAAATACAACATTCTGAAGAATGTTGGTAAGCAAAGAGTTTTGGTTACCATTGACTTCTATTGATAGACCAAAAAAAAAACAAAAAAAACACTGCAACATTTCTCAAAATATCTTCTTTTATGTTCCACAGATGAAAGAATGTCATGAGGAAGTAAATGCAAACGATGGACGAATTTTCATTTTTGAATAAACAATCTCTTTAAGCTTCTCATTGGCAAAACGTACAAAAAGTTTCATTCAATCATTGAACATCTAGAAATCTGAAAGCCACTCGGTTATGATAGCTTAAATCACACACATCATTTTAATCTTTTTATATCAAAGTGCCCCAGATCTGCAGGGCATTGTAATGCGCTTGTCATGTCTAACCTTACAAAAATATATTGCCATGGTAACCATACTTACTTCCCACCATAAAACAGTTATGAGAGTTATATTATGAGTTCGAGAGTTACTCACATAAAACCACGTAATTTAAAAATCCTCCACACAAAAAAAAGTGCACTCGCTAAGTTTTTGTTTTTGCAGTTGCTTAGTACTTGTTCACTTTGCTCACACTTCACGCATGCATATAATAGACATTTTTGGATTCAATTTCAATCATTTTTGTGTATAAAATAAACTAAATTATTATTGCTGTCTCTGTCAGTTGCATAAGGTTAGTCATGTGATCCAAGCATGGCAGCACCCACAAGTGGCATGTAGTATAAAACAGCTTTTTCTAGAACACAAGTGGCATGTAGTAGAAAACAGCTTTTTCTAGAAGCCCAAGTTATCTGGAGCCTTCATCTTTCGTGGACCATTTTTAAAAAAATCTCTTTCTCCATGTATCATTTTTTGATTTAGCAAAAAGCTAAGTTTGAAGCATATGCATGTCATATTAAATCTATTACAGATCTACGGCAGCAACAATAACTATGGCATTTTGGCAAGGAAACTATAGTTATAACTTTTGTAAGGGTATTACGATACGTTAACGTTTAATTTCTCCTCCAGTTAGAGAGTGAAATGCTCGGCATGCAGGAAGTCAGCTGCTGTGTGTGTGTGTGTATGTTGTGTGTTGTGTGTGTTGTGTGTGTGTGTGTGTGTGTGTGGGTGTGTGTGTGTGTGTGTGTGTGTGTGTGTGTCCCCAGTTTCTTC